TTCCAAAAAAAAAAAAAGTATATTGCTTTTCATTTACTTTTTTTTTGGCTAAATAGAAGGATTTGTTATTAATAAAGTAGGAAATTAAAAAATATCAGTACAACATGGAACTGCATCGTTATCCCTAAATAGTCTTTGCAAAATAGTAAAAAAATAAATAAAGGTTGTTTACTTCAAAATGCGTCTTCGCACTCACCACTTATATGTGAGTCCAAGGTACTCCCATATTTTGCTAAAATATGTGCGACTTGATTCCTTTCACGGCAGGTGTGCCTAACGGGCAGTTGACCCACTGCCTCAAGCAGGAACCTGCGGTCATGTAGAAAATTAACATAAGCTAAGCTTTGGTGTCCTCTTGCTTTTTTATTTCTCATCTCGTATATTTGATATCTGCAGTCGAGCTCCGACTAATTGATACCCACTCAGTATAAAATTCACTAATGGAGAAATGCTTCCTGTGCCTTACCAAAAAAAATTATTGCTAGAATTTGGACCCAAAATCTCTAACGAAAGTGAAGGAATTCTATTATTCTTACCACATCATAATAGTGAATGTAAGTTACATGAATTATGCATTATAATTAGTGGACCTACCTTCAAATTTGTTTAGAATTTTATATTGTTGCTAGTATAGTTTATTATATTAATTCTAACTATAATAAACTCTGAAGTGATAATAATTGTGTAACTATTTAGCAGAAATTACATGGATGAACTATGCTTTATTTAACTATAATTATTAATATCCAGCCATAGTTAACTACCATATAAACAAATGACATATGCTATCACCTTAAATTTATTAGTAACATGAATCATTTGTTTAAGGTCCAAGTTCAAGGAATTCTGATGAACATGAGATAGTGTGGGAAAAAATAAAAAATAATTAGATTTACGGCCGGTACTTGAAAAATAGCCACAATTTTAAAAGTAATTGAAATTTAGTCACTTTTTATGTAAAGATAAAATATAAACAAAAATACCTTTAAAAATACAGAAATATTCTAGCATAATATAATGGAGTTCAAATTTTTTTACATATAAACTTCCAACATAATGTGTTGGAGTTCTAACATAACATACGCAGATGCGGAACTAGGATTTGAAGGTTATGGGTTATGACATCATTGAACCCTAGCTCGTGTTAGTTACTGGGTTCGCAAAAAAAAATTCTATAAATTTAATGAATTTTTAATACAAATACAGGATTTAAGCAAAAACTACTCGGCTCGTCTCAATCCGTAGCTACTACACTGTCTCCGCCCCTGAATATGCGGGAAGTTTATATGCAGGAGCTTCATAATCCAGCATGTTATGCTAGAACTTTCTGTGTGAAATTCCAACATAATATGCTAGAAGTCTATACACAGGAGTATTATGCTGGAATTTTCCGTGTGCTGGAGTTCCAACATAATATGCTGGAAGTTTATATACAGGAGCTCCATAATCTTGCATATTATGCTGGAACTTTCCGTGTGCTGGAGTTCCAACATAATATGCTGGAAGTTTATATACAGGAGCTCCATAATCTTGCATATTATGCTGGAACTTTCCGTGTGCTGGAGTTCCAACATAATATGCTGGAAGTTTATACGCAGGAGCTCCATAATCCCGCAAATTATGCTGAAAAATTCAGTGTTTTAGCAATATAGTGGCTATTTTTCAATAACTTTGCAAACGCGGGCTATTTTTCAATTATCATTCCGAAAACTGACTTATCCGCGCTATTTTCACATAGAGTGTGCTGCTATTGGGTTTTCTTTTTTGTTGCCCACAGTTTGCTAGTAATTTTCCAAAACCATGGGATTAATTCATCGTATTCCATTCAAAATATGTAGAACAGTGACAAAAGCACTAATGAAACTGCTAGCCGCCGTTGTTTGCAATTTAACCAAGTATTTTGTCCACAAGATTCCTGCTAATCAGACTAATCTATTGCCAGCTCATTTAACAATCGTGTAATAGAAAAAAGATCGAAGAACCATCAAAGATTAATACGGCAGGATTAATATATATGAATCCTCAATCTTTAACATAAATCTCGAGTTCGAGTTATTTGCATGAAATTAAATTAATCGAAGTTAAAATATGAATATGTTAGGTGGAAAATAAAAAAGCGATAAAGAGAATGAAGAGATACATCATTCTCATCAAATTGCTAAGCTTTTGAGAATTAATGACATACCTAACTTTGTTCATATAACGTTGAACGTTCTTCTCATAAAATAAATATGAAAAGAGGAAGAATTAGGAAACGAGTGAGAAACCAGGACAAGTCTGATGTCCCTAGGTTTAAATGCATTGATCGTACCTTCGCCAATTTCATCCACACACTGAACTTTTTTGGTCATTATGCAAATGAATTCTTAGTCCCTACAGCTAATTTTCAGCATAATATAGCTGTAGCTATGACTACATTCTCACCTCATTTTCTCTTCGACAATGCGTATAACATTTTTTTGGTTTCCAACCCAATCAGGGGCGGATCCACGGTATAAATGTGGTTCACATAAATTCGTGATCCTCGAGTTAAAGTAAATATATAATGTGCATAATTTGGCAAAAATACATATACATATTTAATGGAACCCATGATCAAAAGATGCGAAGTGGTTCACTAGTTTTGGTACCTTATTTCCGGCAGCCTAAGGTCAAGGGATTGAATCCCTTACCAAATGTTTTGTTTCATTTTTTTCTTAACTTCTTTTCTTTCTATTTTTACTAACGTAATTTTTCTTTTTATTCTTTAAATCGCTAAAGTAATCAATTCCCAATTTCTCAGTTCCCACACGCCTAACGTTTACTCGATTTTCCCATCCCGGAATAATACACCGATCTTCTCGGAATACTAGATACGCTTCTGCACCCGATGTCCGGGACTTATTTTGGGATTCGATTAATCATAGTGTATTTGTTTTTGTTTTAGGATTTCAAAGGGAAATGTAAAATGATACTCCCCGATCTCAAATATTATTAGTCATCTTGAGGAATCAATTTATTTCCAAATATTTGAGGTTATAGAAATACAAGAATATATGACTTGAAAATATAATACACAGTACATCGTCCTTTTATGTTTAACATTGTATTTACATGAACCGACAAGCCTAAAACTTTTGAGACTTTGGTCAGAAAATTAAATTATAAACCCCAAAAGAAACAGGCTAAGACATTCTCATATCCAGCAAAGCTTACATATTTTGGGTTCCCTAAAGGCCACACACTTACATGGCAAAACTAATCAAAACAGAGAAGCATTTTATTAAAGTATTTGTCACGTTACGTGTTTATGTAGAAACTCATATATATATATATTATATTAAAAGCATGAAGGCCCTTAGCGAAATGTCGTTCGCCT